GACAGAGTCTCACTTTGTTGACCTCAGTAGAGAGCCATGGCATCATAGCTCACGGCAACCTCAAACTCTTGGGCTCAAGCAATTCTCCTGCCTCAGCCTCCTGAGTAGCTGGGACTACAAGCACCCACCACAATGCCCAGCTATTTTTAGAGACAGGGTCTCGCTCTTGCTCAGGCTGGTCTTGAACTGAGCTCAAGCAATCCACTCGCCTTGGCCTCCCAGAGTGCTAGGATTATAGGCATGAGCCACTGCACCCAGCCAACAATATATTTCTGTTGTTTAAAAATTACCCAGTCTTGGGTGGTGCCCGTGGCTCAAGGAGTAGGGCACTGGCCCCATATACCGGAGGTGGCGGGTTCAAACCCAGCTCCAGACAAAAAAAAAAAAAAAAAGCTGCAAAAAAAAAAAATTACCCAGTCTGATGTACATTTATCATAGCCTCATAATAGACTAAGGTGGAAAAGGGTAACAAACGGCCATGGGATTTGAGGCTGCTTTCACAGAGGGGGGTCTGGTGGGCACCCCACTTCTGCTGCATGGTACTCAGTATGAAAGTATAGGGCACCACACTGTAAAAAGAGCAGTAACCAAGGCCCCAGAAGGGCTGGGTGTGGCTGCCCAGGTTGGGAGGAGCTAGGGGTGAAGGCACAAGAGCGTAGCATCTATCTCCAAACACGTGAGGAACCCTCAAGAAGAGAAGAAACTAGACTAGCTCTGTGCAGCTCCAGGGCCCATGCAAGAAAGAATGGGTTGAAGTTACACGGGAGCAGCCAGTGCCTGGGGGCCAGGATGTACTTTCCAAAGGGAGGACTTTGGGCAGCAGCTTCTGTCACCAGAGGAGCTCCCTGGGGCTGTCCCATGGGTGATTAGGTCGACTCATTACTGTGCGAAGGGTTGAGTGACCACGGTTCTGAGACTGAACCCAGGGTCTTGACTCTCAGCAGTTTTGTGTTTAGTCTGTCGTATCTCAGAGGTAGGCAAGGTCTGATTCCCAAAGAGGTTCTCCTTTAAGAATGCTGTCACACTGCGTGTCACTGTACATACAATTCCTCCTTTAGAGATATTGCTTTTGAGTCCTACATCCAAGAATTCCCTATTAGATTCCAAATATCCACAAGAGAAGTGGCTTCTCTGGAGGGCTCTTGGGGAGGCCAGAATATTAGGGGGAGAGAGCCCAGCGCAGGAGGTACCACTCTCTCCTCAGGGCTCCAACATGCCAATAATGTAATTGTCATTTCAGTGAGGATTTCTTATAAATACAAATATTCAGCAGTAATAATGACAAAGCTTCCCTTTTGCAGTGACTTCCAATTAAAAGAAATCTTCTTAGCATTGACCCGTAGGGTCATAAATTTGTGTTCCTGCTGCTACATTCCAGGAGTCCTGAGAATGGCCCTTCTTGGCTTGAGCCTGAGAAGTGCTGGGCCTGGGATAAGGGTCATCAGTGGAAGCAGGGATGGGGGAAAAGAGCAAGTGTGGAGTCGGACAAGGATATAAATCCCGGCTCTGCCACTTCTGAGCCTTGTAAGCACCATGGGCAGGTTCTTTAATCTCTGGGGACTCTACATCTGCAAAATGGGGATGATCATACCTACTTTGTAGGTTGGTTATGACAGTGAAGTGAGCCAAGCAGACCAAAACCAGCAGAGCGTCTGGCACATGGCAGGTGTCCTGAAATTGCCCACCTGTGTCCAGGTGCACAAGTCACCAGGGTACCAAAATATGGATCTCTGCAAGACAGAGCCTAGGGTATGTGGGGCTTCAGGCTGGTCACCTCCAGTGACCACACAGGTGCCTGGTACAGGCCCAGCTGACCTCTCCAGCTTATGGGGGTTCACCTTGGCACCTGTCCACATGAGGAGCCTGCCAGCCCCGGGTCCACTGAGCAAAACACGTAGAAAACTCGAGCCTGCAGGCGAGAGGCAGCCACATTTCTCTTCTCCTACACAAAAACTTTTTACCCAGAACTGTTGAATAAGAGTTTTCAAAATGTACTGATATGAAATTTGTTACTTTTTTTTAGGATTCAACTACATAACTTTTAAAGAGAAGGCATTTATTTATTGTAATGTCTGCCCAAATTCAAATGTATAGAAAAAGAAAGAGTAAGAGGTGAGAGTTCCCTCTCTTCCTTGTCCCTTTCTCAGAGATGGGATCGGTGGGGTGTCCCTTCTCCTCAGCCAGTAGGCTGGCAGCAAAGAGGCTTAGGGGTCCCTCGGCATGACCCATGAGTCCAGAAAAATGAAGACTTGCTTTTCTAGCCAGCAGAGACAGAGAGGGTGAGAGAGGTTGGTGCCCTTGGAAGGGAAGAGGTTAGCCTCAGCCACCCTCGTTATGGGACTCCATCCAAAGCACACTCCCTAAGGGGCCCTCTGTCCCAATATTCCTGGGGTCCATTATTGAAAAAAAATCTCTCATACAGGGAGGGTCCAAGCACACACATTCTTGCAACTGCCACTTCTCATTTAAATGCTGCTTTGTTCCACGGCACTCTACCCTAGGCGACATAGTGAAACTCTGTCTCAAAAAAAAAAAAAAAAAGCTGCTTTGTTGAGGGTGCTGGGGGTTGGGGCATTCTGGGCTGTAGAGAACGAGGGTTGGTCTCTCTCTCTCTCTGGGTCCCAGCAGGAAAAGGAAGGCCAGCCTCCACCGAGGCCTCTCACATTTGGAGGAGCCATGGGGAGCCAACCATATGCACAGCCCTCTGGGTCCTGGGAGAAGCGCTTTCTGGAAGGCAGAACCTGTTTCAAAGCCCTTTGCTCAGTGCCACCCTCCACCAGGGTGGCCTCCAGACTCTGTTGGGCCTTTCCCAAGAGTGGCATTGGGAGATAGCACTCTTGGTTGTGGAAACATCCTTCTCTAAGACCTCCTCCTAAGATCTGCCTACGGGTTACCCTGGGCTTCCCGCCCCCCACCCCCACCCCCAGCTGGCCCTGCCTTACTTGCACAGGGCAGCATCTTCAGCCGGCAGGGACTCAGGGGTACATGGGTTTCCTGTCACCATCGCCACAAGACCCAGCAACAGAGCTGCTGTCACCAGTCTCATTGTCCACCCCGTGGGCACCTGGAACAGAAGGAGGTTTAGAGTAGCTAGACCCTGTGCTGGGGGCCCACTGCCCATGCCCTTACCCAAAGCCCCACCTGGGGGGGCAGAGACCTCTCGTAAACGCAGGGACAAGGCAAGCAGCTGTCTGGGCTCCAGCAACTAATCTGCCACCTGGACACAAGTACCTTGGGCAGACCTGGGCCTCCTCCAAGCTGGACTCAATTTGCAGGCTCCTCCTTTGGCAGGCCACAGCTTTGTTGTCACTCTAGTCCTGGCTGCCAGGGCAGAGAGCAGGCTGCAAAGTAGACATGCTTACATAAGCCTTTCCGTGCAGCTCCTTGTCCTGCCCCCGCACTTGCACTGGTGTGGTCAGCTGGCCTGGGACAGCCTGCTCCTCAGCTCTAAGGCCAGCGCTGGGATGCTGAGGCCCTCAGGCTCAGGGATGGGGTATGGGGTGGGGGCTGGGCTGCACCATGCTCCTCAGCCTGGCTCTGCTGCTTCTGGCCCCAGTTCCTCCAGCGCCTGAACCCAGGTGGAGGTGGCTGAACACAGCCACCCCATGTAAGAGGCTGCAGCTTGGGGGGTGCAGGGGTGGGGGCAGGGGTGCCCTAGCGTGAGGCCAGCTCTGAAGGGCCAGCTGAGGACACGAAGGTACATCTGGCTGTACCTTGCAGCTGTGCTGAACTCAGCACTCTCCCAAAATAACAGCCTCTGGAGAAGGAGGCCTCTGCAGGGTGCTAGGGGGCGCTCAAGGGGGGAGCCTGCCGGGGCCTGCTGTTGGACCTGGGCCAAGCCAGCAGAGCAGCCTGCATTCCCTGGGTGGAGGAACAGTCCTGCGGGCAAGTGTGTGGGACTGTGATTAGAGCCAGAGCAGGCAAGGGAAGATCAAAGGCGGCTTCCCACAGCCTTTCCAAGACACTGCTCTCAGAGACTGGAAGAAAGGATGGGAGGCTGTTCCATCAGCCAGCAACTCAGGACTCCAGGCTGTGCTCTGAGCTCTGCCTGGGCGCCTGAGTGGCCACTGTGCTTCCCTAAAACACACAGCTTTTCCTCCTCAAAAACAAGTAAAATGACGCCTGTTACCCTGTGCCTTGCTTAGAAAGACAAGATCAGAGCTATAACATATCCGCAGCTAGATTTTTAGGAAACTATTTCAGCACAGCCTGCATTCTGGTTCAATTCCTGCCTCCAGGATCCCAACCTCTAGCAAAAAAAAAAACTTTGTGGCTACAAATTAAACAATTCTCAATCATTAAGACGAGGACTCCCCCAAAGAGAATTTATTCCCAAGATCTCCCCTGCTGGAAAGTGTCTAGCACGAACCTCCTCACAAGATGACTTCGAGAATGGAATGAAAGGAATCATAAAGCGTTCGGTAAGCTGCCTGACTCATAGCAAATGCTCAATAATTTATGAGTGGCACAGACATTCTTCCACAGACCTATGTTCATTCATTTATCCATTCATTCATTTGCAATCCATCTCACCAATAGGTATTGAGCACCTCCCACGTACCTGTCCCATAGAGGGCCCTGGGATATATGCCAATAGTTTGAGCAGGTCCCTGTCCTCACGTAGTTCCCAGAGCAGCCAGAGCCAGAGGATGGTGCTACCAAGATGGCTGCCCAAGGCCAAGAGACTTTTCCCTTCCGAGTGGCCCCCAATAGAGAAGCCAAAACTGGGAGTCAGTCGCTTTTCACACAGACCACGAGTGGTGAGTGGCTGCCTAGAGGCGCGGGAGCGTCTTCGACCCACTCTCAACAGCCGCTTTCCTTATTTTATGTGCCAGGCACTTTTATCACTGAGTCCTTATGCCAATCCACTGAAAGAAGCACTATTATCAGCCCGTCTTACAGAGAAAGGGGCACAGAGAGGTTAGCTGACCTGATTTTGGTCACACAACCCTGTTAAGTGTGGGATTTGAACGCAAGCCGTCTGGCTCCAGAGTCCATGCTCTCAACCAATCCGCTCCACTGCCCCTAACTGGGGTGGGCCCGTCCGTACTTCCTCCATCTTCCCTTTGCTCAGGGGAGGAAACCCCAGAATCCTCCACGTGGCCCATGATGCCCTTCGAGACTGGCTCTTCCCGGCTCCGGCCTCTCACAACTTAGCCCCGCCCACTCCCTAGGCCCCGCCCCCACTCTAGTGGGTCATTTCCTCAGGGAAACTGCTCTAACCCCCAGGTTCAATCAGCTTCTGTTATACACAATCAGAGCACCTTGCTTCTTTCCTCCTTATTCTTATTCATTTGTACTAAATTATTTTATAGTTATTTGCTTAGTGATACTCCCTTCCCCCTCCCACAGTCTCTAAGCTCCTGGGAGGCCACACCTACTGGGTCCAACATTGCAAGCACCCTACTGGGCCTATATAGGCTCTTAATAAAATGCTTGTTTAAATGCAAGACAAACTTGCCACTTCTGTTTCTGATCCTCCTTATTTTCACTTAATAGCCCATATTTCTACTAACTACTCAGGTTGGCCCCAGGCCTGGGTCCCTTTTGCTTATTTATCTAACCTTCTCCGGCTTGTTTTCTCACAGAGATTTGGCAGCATACAGTGGTTCTCAATATTTTTCAAACCCAGCCTTTCTCTTGGGGACTCGCTGCACTTTGCTTCATCATTGAAATCTGAGATCTGGGAGCCATGTTCAGGCACATGCGGAGGCACTGGTTTTGGTCAACTGCCTCACCTCTGGACTTGCCCCCTTCCATCACCTGAGCTGGGATCACCTCCAAACACTATCAATCAGGCCAAGTCTATGGCTTTCTGAAATGCCTCAGTCCCTGCAGCCATCCTGGTCTGCAAGACCAGCGGTGCCAGAACGTGCCACCCTCCACCCCCCTCTCTATCTGCCCCCCAAGCAAAGAGGGGGAATTTAACATCCTTCCTTACTGCTCAAGTCTCACTTTCTTTTTCTACTCAAATGCAAACCCTCTTTCCCTCTCTCCTAAACCTTCCCATAGGGCCTTAGCAACCACTAGTCTACTTTAGGTCCTTATATATCTGCCTTTTCTGGACATTTCATATAAATGGAATTGTACGATTTCCATGGATTGGCGTCTTTCACTTAGCACAAAGAGCGTGGTGTACGGGGTGAATTAGCAGTACAGGGATGATGATAGCTAAAAGATGTTAAGTTTCTTTTGGAGATGACAAAAATGTTCTAAAATTGTCTGATGTTCGCACATATCTAAAAACCATTGAATTGGACACTTTAAAACTGATGAATTGTGAGACATGTGAAGCATATCTCCATAAAATTCTTTTAAAAAGACAATCCTGGTGACATTAGCAGACTGAAGAGCTAGGACATTCCAAGCTATTGCTCCCTCATGGAAACTTAAACACACACAACTGGCTGAACTTTATAGGAGTTCTGGAAAATAGCCAGATATTTAGAACCACCAAGTGAGTACCCAATCAAGAAAAGCCTCCTAGCAAAGTATCTCAAGAATGGAAGAAAAAGTATCCAATGTACACAGCCCTATTATGAAACTAATTTACAGCTTTCATAGGAAAAGCTATAACCTAATTATAGCCTTAGAATATGGGGAGGGGGGATGGGTGGACAGAGGGTGATTGGTGGGGTCACCTTTATGGTTTATCTTACAAGGGTACAAGTGAATCATTTTAAAAGCAGAGTATGAATGTATTAACTCAATAACTAAGAAAATGACATGAAGGCTACGTTAACCAGTTTGATGAGAATATTTCAAATTATATATGAAAACACCACACTGTACCCCATGATTGCATTAATGTACACAGCTATAATTTAATAAATAAAAAAGAAAAGCCTCCTTCAAAACTGTGGGAAATTTCATTGTCTTTCTCCCTTATCCCACCTTCTACCCAGGGAAGCAGCACTCTTGTTCTAGAGGAGATGGCAGCTCGGTTCCCAGTTGCCTCCCTGGAACCAGAGGGGGAGGAACAGACCTTGTTTGCAGTATCTAACTTGTCTGGGGGCTGCCTGCAAGACTGATCTGTTTCACCTAATTCAGATCTCAGGTGAGAAAAGGAGCAGGCATTGTTCATGAAAGCAGCAGAGAGACTACAGACCTGCAAACACGCAGGAGAAAGATTACAGATTAAGACATTCATCCATCTAAGGTCCCAAGGAGTAGCTGGAGTGAAACTCTGGGACATTCAAAAGCAGCCGTGTATATTTGGTAATTGAAGACAGAAGTAAAAGTCATTGGAAATGAAGAAGGGAGGAGGAGAAAGGGAGGGGTAAAAACCCTCCTAACAGGTACAATGAATGCTATTCAGGTGATGGGCACACTAATAGCAAATGTTGGGCAGCTTATGAAGAAATTGGAACCTCCACATTGCTAGCAAGAGTGTAACATGGTACAGCTACTGTGGAAAATGGTATGGTGGTTCCCCAGAAGGCTAAACCTAGAACTACCACATGATCCAATAATTCCACTTATAGGTACATGCCCAAAGGAATTGAAATCAAGGATTTGAACAGATACTTGTATGCCCAAGTTCATTGTAGCCAAAAGGTGGAAGTAATCCATGTGTATACCAACCAATGAATGGGTAAACAAAATGTGATATATACATGTAGAATGTAGAACATTGAAATAGGATCCACATCTCTCATCACTCACAAAAATTAATTCATGGTGGATAATAGACTTAAACCTAAGGCATGAAAACATAGTAATTCTAGAAGATGATATTGGAAAAACTCTTTGGAGACATCTGCCCAAATTTATGAAGACGACCCCAAAGGCAAGCACACCAACAATAAAAATTAACAAATGGGACCTGATTACATTAAAAAGCTTCTGCATAGCCAAAGAAACAATATAGCAAATAGACAACTTACGGAATGAGAGAAAATATTTGCACACTATTCAACCAACAAAGGGCTGATAACCAGAATCTAGAAAGAACTAAAGCAATTCAACAACAAAAAAAAATTAAACAAGCCCATTAAAAGAGGGCAAAAGACATGAACTAAAGCATTTCAAAAGAAGATAGACTAATGGCTAATAAACATGTGGAAAAAGTCCTCGAGTTCTCCACTTATCAGAGAAATGCAAATCAAAACCACAGTGAGG